CTTATAAACACACATACACACTCAATTATACATTATTGTCCTATATAGTAAAAGCCTATTATGCAAATTGTCCCCTCAACCATGAGTTTGACTGGAAGTTCTACTGGAAGTTTGACCAGGGGATGACGGTTGTTGTGGCTGTGGTGACTATGGTGGCAGGTGGCTGGGGCAAGGGAGGTGCCCTGGCTAGGGACCCTACCTGTGCACAAATTTCGTGCACTGGGCCTCTAATTATTAATGTTAATTTACATGGTATCCTTTATTCTAACATAGATAAAAGAGCATTAGAAACATCTCATTTATCCTCATAATGAAAAAAAAAAAAAGAGAGAGAGAAGTGTTTCAATGGTCTTGAAATTTCTATCTTTGGTGATTCCTTCTTTCTCATTAACCTGAAAATCCAGATTAATCTTTATAGAGGTACCTTCAAAAACTAGGTTATTTACAGAAACTTTTAGCAATCTTCTCGGGAAAAATTCCACACTAGTCATTCTAACAGTCATGGAGATTCATCGCTCCCTCTTATCAATCCAGCTGTCTTTCTCGACATACACCCTCCTCCAGATGCTGCTCTTCTTGCTAAGTGCTCTCTTATGGTCTTGGTCTTCTTCATACTGTTTCTCCCATTGAGGTCCTTCTTCCTCTTCCTTTCACTTTATCCAAACCCTTTCCATTCTTCCAACTAAAATTCTTTCTCCTCTATGAAACCTTAAAGGCTACTCCAGCTCATTTTAAACTTTCCTGTCATGCCATAAACAGTTTGTTTATTTATTAAGTATTACTAATAAAATATGAGACATAATGAGGTTTAAGCAAGACCAGGTTTCAAGTCTTCTGAGTGAATTCCTTTCCCTGGGCTATCTTTGTGCCTTCCTGCCATTTCTATTTTTCTTTTATTATTATTTTTCTCATTTTTATCTCTCTTTTTTTCTTTTTCTCTTTTAAATGCAAAGAGACACATTCTAAGCATGGGGCTTAGAAAGCAATGCTTGGAGGAGGAAAACCAATAGATGGCAACTAGATGACTAAAAGCACCTAGTGTGGAGCATATCCCATCTTTCCACAATCAAAACAAAATAAACATCTCAAATGCCACACTCATTCACATCGAAGGAGAACTGCATTTACTATTAGGACAATTCCCAAAGGGTTGGGGTATTACAGCCCAAGATTCTGAGAGGGGAAACAACAACAAAAACCTCATCTAGTCAGTTCATCATGGAAATAATAACATACTTTACAGAAAATAATGGAAAAACACATAGGGTATTGAGGGTAGGGAGGCAATAAGAAATATAAACATGGGAGCTAAGAAATTTAGAAATAATAAAGGATATCTAAAGTTATAAAGAAAGGAAAACAGTGGTGCTTCAATCTGAAGAGAGAAATAGAAGCCTTCACCTTTTGCCTAGAAGAAACACTTCTATCATAATAAAAGCGTAATATGCAAATTGACCGAACAACTGAACAGCAGAATGACCGTCCGGATGACCGTCCAGATGACCTTCCAGATGACCATATTATGACATGCACTTGCACCAGGCCAGCCAAGGTGGGTGCAATGTAATGGTCGGGAGACCCTGCCATGGCCCCACTATTGTCCTGCAGAGGGAGGAACAGGCCACCTCTGCGGGGCAATTGAGGGGGCAGGGGGGAAGGGGATGCTCTGTGATCAATCACCCCAAAGAGGGAGTCCCAGGTCACAGGCTGGCAGGGTAATCGATTGGGGCGATCATAGATACCCCACAATGGGAGGCCCAGGCCAGCCAAGCAATCACACCCCATGCGTATTGCCCACAGAGGGAGGTAACTGGTGGCAGGGGAGGGGAGGAGCAGTGCTGCAGAGATGGCAAGCAGGGGCAGTGGCGGGGGCAAGGCCAGCTGCCAGCAACTGGGGGAAGGAAAGTCCTGATAGGCCCTAATTGCTGGCCAGGCCTGGGGACCCTATGCGAGGGGTCCTGGATTGCGATAGGGCATAGGCCAGGCTGAGGGACATCCTGCTCCCATGCACAAATGTTGTGCACTGGGCTTCTAGTTTTTAAATAAAAAGCTGAGGCAAAGCCACAAGATACCCTCCAACAGTAATGCTTTGGATTAAAAGAGAAGCACATTTGAAAGGGCATGATCAGTGGTGTTGTTTCACACTAAGCACCTCATATTTTCAAAAATGTTTTTCCAATCACCCTGCTAAAACTTGTGAAAGAAAAGAGCCACATGCTAACCTGACAAGCTCAGGGAAGGCCTGTATGGCAGTCTTGCAAACCCAGAGACCTAAGATAATCACAAAAGATGGTTTGAAAATTAAATATCTAACAGGTTATAGTAGGTAGTCAGGTCCCATATATTTTCCCAGACAAAGATCAACTTTGATCTTTTTACTGAGCGCATTTGCCTTTTGCCTCTAAGATAACATATCTGTGAGATGTCTGGGTAACTTGTAACTTCCCCTTTTTTCTGGAGCCCCTGGGGCACAACCAAATGTGGTGAGCGCCAGGACAGATGCCTCAAATTCCTTTGTTATCATGTTAATTGTCCCTTCACTCACCTATTTTACTTTTTATCCAATCCCAGGAGTTTCCCACCTTATTGCTTTCTCCCGCCTCCTTATTCCATCAACAATGAATTTCATGGAACCCACCTATGTCCCTCCTTTGATTTCAGTGTATAAATAGAAATGTAACCTGCCATTCTTTGGAGCATTATCTCAATTCGTTGAGGTTCTGCTTCCCAGCATATGTCAACAGTAAGGCTCAAATAAATTCATAAAAAAATTCTTTACAGGTTTCAATGGCATTTTTCATTAACAAACTGAAGGAGGTATGGGGATAGAACCTGAAAAAAGAAATCCCTGTGCAAGCCTGTCACACAAATCCAAATGATCTAATATTCTTGAATTTACTTGGCTGGCTCTATTTTGTCCTCCCTCCAGGTTAGGTAGAAAAACAAACATGAAAATCAAGATGAAATGTAAAGCACGATTACTTTAAAAATAGTCTTCTTACTCTCTCAAAATCAACGTGAAAAAATGCTATGATATGCACTGGAGCATTAATAGTTAATGTAAAGCAAAACAAGGAACTTCTAAAACTCTCTTACATTCAATAGTTAATGACTATGTTTTTAACTTTCTTTTGTTGAGTCATCGACTCTCCTTCCCCCACTTCTTAGTTCCCAGGGTCAACGAACAACATTTTATAAATCACGGGACTGGATTTGCTATGTTTGGTCTTGAGCCAGTTTCTTTATTATCTCTGCAGTTTTGTAGACACACCAAATAAAATGAAGAAACAAAACCAGGAGATTATTCCCAGACTGTAAACTGTTACTAGTACACAAAATTTCAAACTGTTGATAGACAAAACAATGCATAATCCTTTATTCCTGAATCTTTTAGAAGAGAAACTGGGAGTGGGGGGAAGTGAGAACAGGAGGTTGTGATTTCCTTTTCTGTCAAACTCCTTTGTCCTCCTTTGCCTCAGTATCCCAATTTGTTTAATTGTATTGTTCAGAATTTTGTTTTCTTCCCTAATTCTGCCTAGTGCAAATTGCCTTGAGTATTTTTTTTACACCATTCTATCACAACAAAAAGAGAATCAGGAAGGCTGTATGTATACTCATTTGTAACCTTCCAGATCTTGCTTCCAGCATTCCTCGGTCTTCAATTGCAGTGTCTCAGGAAATCTGTGAAACCATGCCAGTTCACAACCAACCCCACAGAGTTGATTCCTGGACAAGTGTTTAAATAAGTTGCTGTAAGTCGAATGGCTAGTTAGGGTCAGAATTCATAAACTAAAACCCAACCCTTCCTATACTCCATGGAACAGTGAAATCATTTTCACTGGAAATTCAGAATGCCTGAGCAGACACAAGGTCTGGACTGGGTTTCTAGCTCCACCCAGGATGACTCTTGGACATATATGATCAGAAAGATTCTGAGATCGTGGGCAGGGATTGATGATCTGATTCTATGGAGTTTAAGAAGCAGAGCCCTCATTGAGCAGGACCTGCTTTCTTCCGGGTTGACCCAGGGCAGAGCTGACACAGCTGAAACATTTTAGAGCACACCCACATCTCTGGTTGAGCAGAACAGAGTGGGTGGGAGAAGGGCCATCTGTTGACACGGTCATTAATCCAATAACAGTGCTGGCCAGCATCTTCTCTCAAATTAGTTCTAAACAAAATTTCTTCAAAATATAATTTTGTTTTATCTTTAACACCCCCCCCCCCCCCCCCCCCCCCCCGGTCCTCCTCCCTCAGAAAACTATTGTACTAGAGACTCCATCATCAACATGGAGTACCTTGCCTTGAATCACAAATCAGGCCAGTATGCATGTGGGGTTTGTCCAAGTCTGTTTCAGAGTGGAACATTTTGTTTTCGGAATGTGAGAAGTATGAAATACAAACCTGCCAAATGGCTTCCTCTGAATCGCTCTGGGACTAGGCAGGGCAGGCATTAACTTTCCCAGGGAAGGGAGAAGACAAGGCAAGTCTGAGTCAAGGTAACGCCCTTGGGTGAGGCCTGGGGAAGATAAAGAATTCAGATCCCAAAGATAGAGCCCATGAAACATTCCTGCGCCCCACGGAGTTGGTTCCACAATGCAGTGAGAAAATGCACGCCCCAACATTTCACGGCCTTTAGACTCGCAGCGGGGGCAGCAGGCAGGGAAGGGTGGGCCTGGGGCTGCCAGCCAGAGGTTAATCATTTGCAGGAGAACCCAGGAGAGTGCACCTCATTTTTCTACACAACTGTAGCACTGAGTGTGGTAAACCTGTTAGAAGCGGATTGAGAACTAGAAAATCCAGGTCCGCACCCAGGAGCGCCCCTCCCTGCATTACCGATCACGCGTGGGGCTTGCGGGGGCCGGCAGGGTCTGGCTCCGTGCAGGGTCGGCCCCTCAGCCCCGCCCACTTCTCAACCAGCCCCGCCTCTCCCCGCCCAACCACGCCCCTCCCGCACATACCCCGCCCCCTCCAGCTCAGGCCCCGCCCCGGCCCCGCCCCGCCCCGGGGCCGCGCGAGCCGACTCCGCCCTCGCCCGGGAGCTCGGGGCCGCGGGAGCGCCGCCGCAGTAGCTGCCTGGCCGCTGCGGAGTGACCCGTCCGTGCCGCTCCGCTCCGCCAGCCGCGCTCCAGCCCGCCGCCCTCCGTGGGCACCCCGGCCCCGCCATGGTGAAGGTGACGTTCAACTCGGCTCTGGCCCAGAAGGAGGCCAAGAAGGACGAGCCCAAGAGCAGCGAGGAGGCGCTCATCATCCCGCCCGACGCCGTCGCGGTGGACTGCAAGGTCCGAGGGCGGAGGGCCGGGCGGGCCGGGGAGCTGCCGGGCGCGGGGCCGCGGGCCAGCCGGGCTCCCCGTTTCCCTCGAGCGGCGCCCCTCTCCTTGCCGGCCGCAGCTCCTTTGTGAGAAAGTGCGTGTGTGCGGGCAGCCGGGCCTGCCGCGGGCTGCGGCCTCGGGGGCCCGCGGAGGGGCGGGTGGAGGGACGGAGCCGCGCTGTCCGCCGTCGGCGCGGCCGGGGGCCCGGGGCGGGGTTCCTGGGCCCGGAGGCCGCGGCGCCCCGCGGAGCCACGAAAACAAGCCCGGAGTTTGGCACCTCCTCCCGCGGTGAGGGATGAGCCTAAGATGGCTGACCGCACGGCCAGCCCGCAGCTCCGCCGCCGCTTCTGCTTTCGCTGCGAGGCCGAGCAGCCCTTGGACCGAGTCCCTCCGCTGGGAGCCCCGGGGTTTAAGAGCGCTTTCCCCTCCTTCCCCCGCTCCCCGCTCCCCCGGCCCGGCCCGGCCCGGCAGGGGAACTCCGGGACGGGGCTGCCGGGGGAGCGAGGCCGGGGAGGGAGGAGAAGCCAAAGGGAAGGTGCTCGGGGTAGGCTCTGGCTGTGGATTTTATAACTAAAACATTGCAGCCTAAAGATCAGTAATTACTATGTGGATGTTCCTGTAAAACCGACAGTTGGCTTTTATAGGCCCCTTTAGGCGAAGGGAAACTAAATGTCGCAAACTTGCCCAACCTCCCGTGCAAAAATGTTCCTTTATTTTGCAAAACCCTTCTTTTAGTTCCAAGTAAAATCAGGAATGAAGTCATAATTGTGTTAGTTTTCGTTGGCGTTTTCAAAGACTTTTATCACTGGGATAAACTCAGTTTTAACTTAAAAAAAACTCAATGTGGGTGCAGGTATGCATAATAAGCATTATTTTTTTAATAAAGTCTACTGAAAAATAGGCCACTAACGTACTGTAAAAATGTTTGAGAATTTAATGTTAATCTGGATGCAGAAATGTTAGCCTGTAACTTATTTTTGGAAATGTTCTAGTTAAAAACACAAAGGTCAGGGTTGATTTTAAATGTCTGCCTTGACTTGAAATAGGAACAGTGAACTTATTCCCTTAAGGATTAAGTTTGGGTATTGGTATTGTTTTTCTGAATCCATTGCGAACAGGCTTGGTCTTACAAGAAAATGTTTGGAATGCACAGACCATAATTCCAGTAGCAAATTATTATCTTAGCTCTGCATTTATGTAACATTCAGTGTACCTGAAATAGATTGATAGTCAAGTGCCCAGTCACAGCAGTCTCAAATACATATATAGAGATAGATTTTAATTCTATTATATGTCTTTTTAAGTTATATAAACAAATATGATTCCTTCCATTAAAAGGGGGGGAGGGGTGCATCAGATGATGTCACTTCAGACAGTTTTGCTCTGTTCCCCTGAAGTGAAGATTTGAAACTGCACAGAAATCAGAATTAATTTGCTGGGCAGTTTTAAATCCAGCTTTTGACATTTCCTGCCATTTCTGAAATGTTGGTCCTGTTTTTAGATCCTCAGAATTTCTCACTATTTCACCATAGTCACATTTTTTGGTTATAGCAGCTATAAAAAAGTAACTATTCATAGCTCTGTGCTTTGTTTTCCATTTCTATTTCCTCAGATCCCCATATCCAAAGAAAAATATTGGAACTAAGCTGTGAGGGCTAGAGTCTTCCTTTGTGACCACATAGCAGTTATGGATGAATGGACAGATACAAAATGAGGAATTCTTTTTCTAGCTATAAGCTCAAAGACTTCTTCAGCGAGTGGCAAAATACTGCTCTACGTGAAAAGTAGAATCCTTATAATCAGCTAGTCACTCAGTGATAAATGAAAAGCTTATAACAGACATTTATGAAAGAACTGTCTCTTCATCTTTGAGCTTGGGCAGTGATTACATAATGTCCTCTGGCTCCTTGGGGTGACTGTACAGTAGACAACTAGTTTGACTGCCCGGATTCTACACAGAATCACCCTTCCGGGGTCTTGCCTGGTTGGTTGAGAGGATCAAATAAAGCTAGTTAATGGACCAGAACTCCTGAGCAAGAATTGGTAATACCTTTAACCCTCCTAGAACACAATATCCTAAAAAACGATCTCAAAATGTACTCTTAAGCGGCACTTGCTCTCATATCATCCCGGATTCTGATATGAAAATACAGATTCTACTACCTTATGCTTCAAGAATTCTATCGCTCCAGTCTGCTGGTTTATGTAATACGCATTCCAGTACTTTCACACTGCTCTTATCTTTTGCTATATATTTTTTTTTACTAGCTCTTTTCTCACTTAAGGGTGAGAACCCACTGGAAGCAGTTTTATTGCCCCATTTTTCAATCTTGTCTTTTCAGTAACTGTCAATTCCAGTAGCCATGTCTGTTGATTTTTTAAAAATCTCAAACAGCTTTGCTATTTTTTAATTCTTTTCCTACATTTCCCCTTAACTATTTTCACCTTCCTCCGCCTTCCCAATTAGCACAAAACTCTTAGATGAGTAGAAACAGCAAAAAAGTACTACCTATGTTTTGTATAAAAGGTGAATTTGAAATTAAATGCATGTTTTATGTTACAGGCAGAAAGTATGTTTGTGTCCGTAGCTTTGAACTTTGCAAAATCGTTTGTTGTAGATGTGTAAATGTCAAAGAAAATACTTGATTGTACTGAGTCAGATATCTCAGTTTTGTCCTTAACTGTTTGGACTTGGATTTAAGATTTTAGGTAGATAACAGGGTAAGGCCAAATAGTTTGTAAGGACTCTTCCAGTTTAAATATTCTATGAAGATGCTAGGACTATATAATTATATTTGGCAGGAATTAAATTGTTTTCATTGTAAAAAATAACTACCTCCTCACCCTAACCAGACTGTTATCCTTCCTGTATTTTGCAAGTTATGTTCCTTCCTCATATTAAGTAGCAATAGGTCAAAGAGAAATAAAGTTATTATGTAATGCATCAAATATTCATTTGGGGTTATGTCACTGTAGAACGTGCAGGGGACATTTTTCTGAAAAGGGCCATTATCAGTCACGGACCAAACAAAATTATCAACTTAAAAACTAGCCGGCTATATGTGGTCAAACATTTAATTAGCTCACCTCTAATGCCTTGGCAAGGCCAGACCAAATGATTTCACAGGCCTTATACATCCAGTGGGCCCGGACATCCCCACTCCCGCTGTAGAACAATAATTGTCAACAACTCATTTTGTTATAATGCTAATTATGAAACACCTTTCCCAGTGTCCAACCTGGAAAAGGCTAACGTTTGCTTCAAAGATAGCCCATACAACATTTTGCTAATAGGTCATAATGCCTCTTCTCATACATTGGAGTTGTAGATGTTCTTAAAAGGGAGATTTTTTTTTTAATTCTCACCAGAGGCTATTTTTCCATTGATTTTTAAAGAGATTTGGAAGAGAGAGGGAAAGAAAGAGAAATATTGATGTGAGAGAAACACATCGATTGGTTGCCTTGCAGAGCTCTGAGCAGGGCCCAGGCTGGGGAGGAGCCTGCAATCTGGGTATGTTCCCTTGACTAGAATTGAACCCAGGACCTTCCGTCCATAGGCCGATGCTCAGTCCAGTGAGCCAAACTGGCTAGGGCAAAAAGGAGATGTTTTTAAAAGTAAAGTGCTTGTGTGGGGGAGAAGATGGGGCAGGATGGAAGCTTGAGAAAAAGTGAAAGAATAAACCGAGTAAGGTCTGCGTTACCTATCATAAATGGCTATTTTTTGGGCCCTTATTCTTGACACTTACTGGCATTTCCTGTTTGCATTAAACTGGGCTAGAGGGTTTGGTAATTTAGTTTTGTTTTTTGTTTTTTGTTTTTGTGGTTGTGGGGGGCGGAGGAAAGAAGGAACAATATGTGATGACATGACTGAAATGTGTTGATCTTCACAAAGGTGATTGAGAGTTTGGTTCTCCTTGACAAGTGCAGATCATTACCTAGTGTTTGTAAACATCAGTCTGAAAAAGCTTTGCAGGCATTACATTTTGGTTCTCCATGAGGGTATTGATATCTGAAGTGAAGGTTTAGTACTGGAAGATAAATCATTTGCTCTGTGCATGCCAAGTGACTTGGCAAGACCTGCTGTGTACACACGACCCATTGGATGCTGCTCCTGCAGAGAGTGGACCAGGTTGCTTATTGTACAATTGGAGGACAGGTTATCTGCTTGGGGTAATATATTTTATTGATTTTTTTCCAGAGAGGAAGGGAAGAAGGATAGAGAGCTAGAAACATTGATGAGAGAGAAACATTGATCAGCTGCCTCCTGCACACCCCCCACTGGGGATGTGCCTGCCACCAAGGCATATGCCCTCTATTGGAATCAGTCCGCAGGCTGATGATCTATCCACTGAGCCAAACTGGTCAGGGCCAAAATCATAAACTTTTAAGACATTGTAGAATTCAACTCTCTCATGTAAGAGAGAGGTTTAAGTGAGTAGAAATATTTTTGAACAGAAATATCTCCAGGACAACACGGTTACAAGCTTTTTTAAATTGATTTAGAGTTTAACTTAAGAGGTTTTCATTATGTATCACTGAAGTTTGACTTGCTTTTAATGTACATTGAAAATGTTATAAGTAGTAATTGTGGGACATTTTCTTTTAGTGCTATCGAATCGTAACCTAAATGACTGAAGTGTCTATTTAAAAGGCATGTTGTTTTTTTCAACAGGAAATGCTTTCTGAATTCACATTATAACTAATGGTACTTGGACTGCTTTGTCTATTTTTGTTATCAGTAGAGAATGAACCAGAAAAAATTTCTCCTCAGATACTTTGATGAATTTATTCTCCTAAACTTTTTGGCATTTTTTTTATTAGTGCTCAGACTGAAGAAGTTAAGGACTTTGCCCTCGAAGATCTTCAGGCCACAACTGCTGTTAAATAAAGGATTTGACAATTTTGAATTTCTGAATGAGGTTTTTTGTTTATATGATGTAGAAAATAGTAATACTGGAGCTATATTTTCA